CCACTGAACCTGTACACTTGTTGGCTTCAGGTTGCTTACTTAAGTTCCAAATCCACCCGAATTCACTCGGACTTCGTTCGCTGCCACGACCACCGTAGTGTTGTCTGTCACCACCATCTTGTCTCTTTTCGTTTTAGGCTGTTCGAGATCTCGTGAGAGCCACTGCAAAGTGCCCAACGGCTTTGGCGTGCGCAACGTAAGAGACAAGATCTAGTGAACGCATCCCTCGCGTGCACAAACACACGCATCTCTCTTACGTACAATGCATGCGCCGCCGTGCTCCCTCTCGGGCGATGCGTTAGGCCGGTGCGCGCGCTAAACTAAAGCTCTCTATTAACGCACGCATGCGCACGTTCACGCCTTTATTTGTTCATCGCGCCGCGCCACTTTCGAACCTTAGGTATGTTTCATGGATCATATATGCTTCATAAAATATATATGTGGAATACATGTTTCACGTCTGAAAGATATTCCAGATTTGCTACATACTCTGGTGTTTCTCTCAAATAATGCGCTATAGACACAGGGTCGAAGACTACTGCAGATTTCCGTAAAACTTGCTCGCACGCACAGTGTATACTCAAGCATGGCAACGTGAAAATTTAGAGCTAAATCCACGTGCTTTCGCTTCCATCATCTACATAATACGTGACAAAGTGGGATATTGACTTGAACACATACGTCAGCGCTAACTTGACGTTTAGTTGTATAAGCTGCAGTGACATGACGTGGTTATCATGAACAATCATTCATAGTAGTATAGACAAAAGGAAATAAAAATAAAATGAAGCAAAACAATGTTGCTTTCAACTTTGTTTGTACAATGTGCATTCCCGGTCAGTAACATTTAGATTTAACGTGTTGGCGAATATTAAAAAAAAATGGGCTGTTTGATGACCTTAGTTATCGCATGTCACATTAATTATAGCCAGAAACGCGCCACTTTAACTTTCAAACGGCACCGTCATCTATAGATGCGCCGTTTCGCATGCTGTGTTTCATGAAGTAGCAGGTAGAGGCTATTCAGAGGCTGCAATGGGTTCTCTATGAGGCTCAAGTAAAAGAAAATGTCCCGTACAAGGCCATTTTACATATAAATTAAACGAGGTGCTCTTTGATCCTCCCACTCAACAGGAGCTTACGTAGTAAAGTAAATTGCAGTCTGCAAGCTGCAACTTGCTTGCAGCAATATAGAGCAACTCGCGAAACCATCTACAACATACAGCAAGAGGCGGGACTGAGATTTTCTCTGCGCAAGTACATAATGCAGAAGATGTTGGTTCAGTACAACAGATGCGTGCATAAAACTTCTCAATATGCCCTACATGTACTACTTTACCAGTAAAAATAATTCGTAGTTTAATTTGCACGCAAGTATTCTGCCACAAGAATTTAGCAAATTCATAATCTTCTTTTACATTGACAAGTAGGCTGGCAAATTAAACTGGACGGTAAGAAGAGTGCACGAGTAAAGAACACGCAGACGGCCTTACCATTTTATTGCCCTTAGACCATATTATATTGTGCGTGTACGTGCATTATTATGCACTGTTAGGCCGGTATTGTGTAATAAATGAAGAAGTGTCTTGTGAAATGTGTTTTCATGTATCCAGTTGCCGTAACTTGCGTCACTGTAGTGAAGGCCAGCTTGCAGCAGGTGATTGGAGCGTTCTTACTGTAACCCTTGCCATGTCCATAAAAGATGGTATGCATCTTCTTGCATCAGTGTAGTGGTACAATACGGACACGCATTAGCAACTGGTAAATGCGACCAGTTCCATGATGGCATAGCAGCCGGGATGTAAGGGTGACCCCTGCCCTGATCGTACTAATATTAGTACTTGTCAAAAATTGCCAATGTTAAATTCTTTTTTTAATAAACGCTTTCGGTTCGCTGTCACTTCTTTGCGCAGTTCGTGCTATTGGTGCACATGGACTGATGATGACGGCACCACGAAGAAGCTGGTCCACCATAGCGTGCAAGATTTCCTGATTTACATAGAGTTTAGAAAATCGTTTTGGTATAGTTACCTGACGGGCTGGAAATAAGTGCTATTGATTCCTTCTTGAGCCACGTGCACCCTTAGGCTTTAAATGCGAAGCAATTAATAGCAAGCAGGATACATTTTTATCTATCTATCTATCTATCTATCTATCTATCTATCTATCTATCTATCTGATTGATTGATTGATTTGTGGGGTTTAACGTCCCAAAACCACCATATGATTATGAGAGACGCCGTAGTGGAGGGCTCCGGAAATTTCGACCATCTGGGGTTCTTTAACGTGCGCCCAAATCTGAGCACACGGGCCTACAACATTTCCGCCTCCATCGGAAATGCAGCCGCCGCAGCCGGGAATCGAACCCGCGACCTGCGGGTCAGCAGCCTATCTATCTATCTATCTATCTATCTATATATCTATCTATCTATCTATCTATCCATCTATCTATCTATCTATCTATCTATCTATCTATCTATCTATCTATCTATCTATCTATCTATCTATGTTCAATTTGAGTTGTGCGCAAATTGTAGGTTTACCAGGCACGCTGATTAGACTTGCTTTAATTGCTTGTCCAGTGGTCTGAGTAACATGAACTTTCAGTTCACACCGCAGTCATCTGTTTTGTCGAAGTGAACTGCAAGCTGCTTAAAGATATATCTAGGATTTGACATCCTAAATCCACGTTATATTTAAGAGAGACTCCATAGCGGAAGCCTCCGGAAATTTCGACCATCTGGTGCTCCTTCAACGAGCGCTGACATCACACAGCACAAGGGCCTCTAGTATTTCGCTCCTATCGGAATGACAGAGGCTCGCGTACGACCGCCTTGGATAGTACCGAACCGTAGACCTTTCGGACAACAGCCGAGTGCCCTAACCACTACACCATCAACTACACGTTGCTTTGCAATGTCGTTCCTGTATTAAGCACCAGTTGTTGCCTATAAGGAGCTTGTTCTATTTGCAAGGGGCTGGTCTCGTCATTGCGCCGATATGTACGCTATTGCTCATATCTCAGCTAGAGGTGCATGCTGTGCTCTAAGTTTCAAGAGCGCTGACGAGCTAGCGCGATAACGCTAAGGCGATGCGCGCTCCACTCTCAGCGCGTGCTCTTGTTTGGCTGGAGACCGCTAGGTGGCCGCACCTATATATAGTGTTCGCCCTCAGCGTGCTTCCTTTCTCTTTCGCCGGACATCACTCAGTGCGCGTCGATACTGCTGCGCACTATGAACACCACAGAAGCCAAGGTGGCAGCGCGGCAGGCTGGCAATGCTTCTGCAGCACGGGCTTGCCGTCAGGACCCTTCTCGAACTTTCCACTACATTCTAGAATTGAAGATGCTTTGGCTTTGTACCTAATATATCACAAAGCTTATATACTAAAACGAAACGTGCCTCAGAGCTTTTGTGATCCGTAAATAACCTCTTCAACAAAATGTATATGCTGTATCAGTATGTAAGTATATGTATATAGTACAAAGTTGTATTAATAGTAAACTGTGTAAATAACGCGTATATACAATCACACACCAGCAATTCTCGTGCCACGTCTTCATATGATGGTGATTGAGTATACGTACGGGGAATTCGTGGTTTACGGGATTTAACCTCTGGATCAAGCTCCTTCATCATTTCACTTCGTGGATATGCGGGAATGTTTTCCTCCTGTGTCAAGGAACACTTCATTGTTGTTTTCTGAGTGACAGCAGTGCTTGCATAATTTTTATTAGTCTTTCATCAAAACGGATGGGCAATCCCATATCGACGTTACCGCACATGGATTCTTTATATAGTTGAACAGCGCAGTTGTTAAACTAGCGGTTTGAAGCTGGATCGTTCACAGAAACTCGCAATGTCTAGCTAGCACTTCGCACCACTGCGCTTAGCATCCCTGAGGGCACCGTAGAAACTCTTTGTATGAAAAAAAAAGGGGGGGGGGAGAAAACAAGTGAAGGAGAACTATAATTAAGTAAAACCAATTTATTATTTGCTAGACGGGATTCAAACCCTATTCCCTTTGGTATGAAGGCGAATGTTGTAATGGCTGTACAAGCCCGCTATCAAAACAAGCACTCATGGCAACCAGATGAAAGCGTTGCTATGGTGGTTAAGAGAACAAGCAAGTGCTGAAGAAACAGACGAAGAATGAAACAAAAAAAGAAAGAAAGTGAAACAGATAAAGAGAAGTGAAGCACAAAGAAGGTAAGCGAAAGAAACGGAGGGAGAACAATTCACTGAAATAAAAAGACAGAAAAAGAAAGGACAGCATTGCGAACTATAGTATGGTAGATCAAAAGTATGAGAAAGATAAATGAGGTTGAGGAGTGGGAGTGAAGGCATCAAGCATGCCGAGTCGATTCAGCCCATAGCTCTAATGAGCGTCGGTGTCCCGCTGCCCCAATGATGCCAGGATGCATGTGTCTGCGGCTCCAACTTGACTTCTAAAGGGACAAATGCCTTGTCCGTGTTTACACATAATGATGATTGTTCTGACATGATTTTTGTTTAAAAATGAAATAAGAACATCTGACCCTGTGGTAACAAGTGGAACTCATGCCAGTCCACACGCAAGACACATTCCGCACACTTCTCTGTTCGCCATGGTGTTATTGCTAGACCCATCATGTGGGCTTCCCTTGCCAACAACGACTACCTGTTCGATGAGATGTGGAGGCAAGTCAATGGCGAAAAGAGTGTGAAACTGAAATTGTTTGCGTCAGCCTTGAAAGACTGCTCATGGCATCATCGGAAGAGCGAATGATTTCATATAGCTGTTTTTTAACTCCTAACCGAATTTCCAAACTGTTTCAAGGTCTCCATAAAGAGGCGATCGTAAAAGCACCTATGCCTTGGTGGCCAGATAAACGTAAATAAAAGAAAAAAAAACGATTCAAGTGCCTTTAGTTCGCTAAATTCAAGAGGTGACTTAGAAATAACTGTAATTTTGGTCCTTAGTTTTAGCGAGTCCTGGGAGGAAGACAGGTGAACACATACCTGAAAGAATGCCTTGGTTGATCCAGACAACAGACAGCCGTAGTCGATGCTGGTCTGCTTGGCTAGATCGTTGGCATTTTCGATGGGTGACGTCATTCGCTGTGCCGTCAGAAAAGCAGCCAGATTTGCGGTGTACGAAGAGATCATGATGAGCGTGAAGAACCACCAGATGCTGGCGATAATACGGGTTGACACAGCGCTGCAATAGAGATGAAAATACGCTGTTCAATTTTGGCATGTCGAAAAAAAAAGACCTCAAGTTAACTAATTGAATATCTACTTACGGGATAGTTTTTTAGCCATGGCTTATTATCCAGTATTATGAACACACATACATATAAAAAGAATCGACAGATTGTCGGAATCGATCAAATCACTTTCACAAAAAGCAGTCAGTGTGTAGCAGCCTATGCCGGTCTCTTTTTTAAGCTAGAGTTGAGAGGTGCGCCTTTGAATAAATCGAGTATTTATGTGCATGGTCGTCTCCCCATCAAGTACGTCGAGTACACCGGTGAGCAATGGCTAGCTCATGGTCGGACAGAACGTCGGCATTCAAACACATTTTGTATAGTGAGATGTCGCATGATCATGGTAATGTTTTTCTATAGGTCATGTTAGTTCATGTTCAGGCGTTTTCTTTGCGAGCGATGGCTCGCTAAGGTGTGGCGATGTGCGAATCAGAAGCAGCTCTCGTTGTGGAGGACTTGACTATAGATTCTGGAATCGTAGGTGTGCCTATGTAATCTTTATTGGATTGAAATAAAATTAAATAGCCAGCCCGAAAACCACAGTGTGCACATTCCTGACATGAAGCTTCTGTAGGGTGTTTTTCTGAAGCGGTTCGAAGAATTAGCGTTGCTCGGTGATAGAGTATTTGATTATCATGCAGATGGCCAGGGCTTGAATGCGCCTCGGGAAGTATTTTCTGAGAGGGAAACAGGGCAAAACGGGATGAAGTAATAATGAGTAAACGACACAAGCACTGACAAACTACTGCGTGTAAGTTTACTTCACGGGACAATATATTAGAGCCCCCCCCCCCCCCCCAAAAAAAAAAAACCGACTGAAACCATGACGTGTTGTGTGGTCATTCTTACTGAATCACATTCTTGAGCTATTTCCTCCTAAGTATCACGCACCAACTGGCCCTTCAAGACACCGTTCCGCAGTAAGATTTTTTTATTCTTTGTTGATATTCCACCAATTGACAGTGCCGCTGATGCCGGGAACGCATTGCATTTCCACTGTTTTCAAATATCTTGGTTGATAAAGACTGTGAATCACATGTGATTCAAACGCAAATACATGGGCCGTGGTATGCTGTTATGAACTGCTGAAAGGTATTTAACGCCATGTATACGTAAGAAAGAACTCGTGGTGTATATATTGTGATCTGCGAAACATCTCCGCTATACGCTTACGTGGTCCTAAGTGAATTTCGGTATATAATAAATAAATCAAACGGTCACGTGAGTGCGAAGACATGGCCGGCTGGATAGATAGATAGATAGATAGATAGATAGATAGATAGATAGATAGATAGATATATAGATAGATAGATAGATAGATAGATAGATAGATAGATAGATAGATAGATAGATAGATAGATAGATAGATAGATAGATAGATAGATAGATAGATAGATAGATAGATAGATAGATATCAACAGTCATAGAGCTCTTCGTTTGTTGAAGAATGCTTCGTATTTATTCCGTACACAGGTGTTGTATTTCAAAAACGTTAATATTGATCGAAATGTTTCGTAAAGAGAAAACAAAATTGAAAGATGGTACCACGTGCTGTATGACCCTTCCTGAAGTTTCAGTGCATATAATCGTTGGTTGTCACCGTCTTTCTTTACCTATTTGTTTCATGTGACCCGTTACGTAGTGCTCCTTGGCACACTTAATATACATCCTTGGGCTTTTCGTATCTTGTGCCAAGCTTACAACTTATTTATTAAAATACGTCCGTCATGGCAAAATGGAAAGAAACAATGGCCTCAAGGAAAATAGTTGTAACAAGAAAGATTTCAAGGAATACGGTGCTGGCATTAAAATGAGGGTGGACGATACAAGAAAAAGGGATACGAACGAAAACAATGCAAGTGCTTCCGCTGTGCAGCAGTAGCACTAGATGCATGTAAACACTACCATGAGGAACTTTATACCTCTGATATGTGAACAGTAACAATAAACTTCATGCATGAGGTGGTTCACCTTTAGTAGAAAAAGTATGTACGAAAGAAAATGGTAATTTTACTTGTATTTAAGTGACGGGTTAACTCCCAATTTCAGTTTGCATAGTAAATTACATTTGCCTGAGCTAATAAATCCATATAAGAGCTCAAAAATTATTGCAATATTAAGATGCAGTGTGAGCCATTGCAACCGATTGAATCAATCTCTGAATCAGGATAGTCGACAGCTCGAAGATGCTATATCACAGTAGAGACGATTGCAGAATATAATGACGTATATTACACCCAATTTTAGGGAACGAAAAGGCACAAACTGACACACAATTATTTAGGGTGAACGCTAAACCAAAAACCACAGCTTATCTACGAGGTAAATGATGACGAGTGGGGCGAAGTGGATGGACGTCCGATGGACAGACGAAAGGATGGACGGATGGATATACAAACGCACAGACGGACGCATGGACGAAAGGACGGAGGCACGAAGGGACGAATGAATGGACGCATGGATGAACGCGGGGACGGACGGATGCATGAATGGATGCACAAATGGACGGACGCTTTGCCTCACTTATCATCATTCAATCCATCAGATGCTGTGATTGTAAATATTTATCATACTACAAGTAACGTCCTCTAGTGTCGTACCATTTTCATTTTTCAGCGTATATGCATTTCGGTATCCCTATAAGCACCGCCTTCTACAGCTGGTTTAAGAACTAACGAGAGGTGGCTACACAAAGTACTCTGACCCCAACTGTGACTACTGCCACGAGCCAGCAACGACGGAGCATATCCTCTGAGATGCCCGTTCACGAATCAAGCCGAGCTGCTTTTACGAAAAAAGCCCAACGTACCCTGCCCCACCTACAGCAAGGCATCGAGGATACTGCCAACTGGATACTTGAACGTCCACTCATCAGAGCAAGCCTGAACCTGTGGTTCGCTGCCTTGTGCATGATCGCATTCCCTGCCCAGCGGTAACAAGCTGACCAGTTTGAAGTCACCCTTGTTTTTACAGCGAAAGCTGTTATCACATCACAACTCGGGTCACGCGCCACCGTAGTTGTCCACCGCCGCCGCCGGTGTCCGCTACCACATAGCATGAATATAGAAACAAAAACCTAGTGCCATTGGCACACTCGGGCTTTAACTCGGGTCCGCTGTGTGCCAACCCAGTATCTTACCACTGACCTACGCTGGTGCTTCGGACTCGTTGGCAAACTTACCTTAGGCAGGCTTGATATCGGGAAAGCAATCGCGTTAATACGACTGCGGTGGCAAATATATAGTATGAATAGTAATACAGAACGCGGAGAGCATGGTCAGATAATTAAACACCAATTTAAGCGAGGCCTACCACCATCTTAAATAAGGATTCTATCCCAGTATATAGATGCAGTAGTCACATCTGCATTTTCGGCAGTGCTATCTTGCTAATGGAAGCGCGCTTGTAATGCTTTTTGTTTATTTAAATAGAAAAATAATGGAGATGTTCTTATTGCTCGCTGACGGCTACCCATTTCGAATGAGCTATTACGTAAACTTGTTTTTTCAGTGCCGCGACATCATCGGTTTCGTGATTTTTGCTCCGGTGACGATGATGATATATGGTGTTTTTGGCGCAAGGGCCATTTGATGGCCAAAGAGCGCCAGTTCTTGCGACAAGGAATGTGGACAATTATTGTGATTACCGGCTGTATAAGGGCCATAAAATTCCTCGCGGTAAGGCGGGTAAAAACATACAAGTAATAAAATCATGACCATGCCGTGAAAGGTGTGTGTGGTGTGAATAGATAACAAAAGATGGTGATAATAAAAAACGATGGTGTATATGTATGGCATTAGCACAAGTGCCTCACTGGTTCATACCCTTGCGTGCAAGGGCCGTGAGGCAAGTGCTTCCCTGTGTGGCCACCGCAGCAAAAACCTCCCTGGAGAGGTCGTGCTACGGGATGCCCGGGTATATAATATGAAAATTGCGAATTTCTTTTAAAAAAGCTAACAATGATTTATGACTGAAAAGCGGTTCCCTACCAACGAACATTGCAGGGTGTAAAGGTATATGTTGTCGGTAGGGTAATGGAAAATGCTGTTTTCTTATAGTTTCTAAGTGTTTACACTGGATTAACACGTGAAGGACGGTTAATGGTTCACCACATCTGTCACACAATGGTGGATCGCCACCAGACAAAAGATAAGTGTGTGTCGTGTATATGTGTCCTATCCTGAGTCTCGTTAGTATAACCTCTGTATGACGCGATTTTGATACTTGCAGCCAATGACCAAGGTGTGGCTTAATAATGTGTAGTTTGTTTTGTGTGTGTGTATCCCACTTGCTCTGCCAGTATTCCCTGATGTTTCGTTTGAGAGACGGCTTAAGATCAAGGGCCGGGATTAATATGGGTGTAGGACCAGTGCTTTTGTGGACGGATGCAGCAAGCTGATCCGCCCTCACATTGCCCTGGATCTCACGGTGCCCTGGCACCCAGCACACTACAACATGTTGTTTTAGTGTGTAGAGCGTGCACAAAATGGAGTAAAGTGAGACAAGGACCGGGTTTTTTTGTTTTTTAGGACTGTGCAGAGCCGTTACCACACTGAGGGAGTCTGTATAAATTACTGCTTTTTGTATTTGTAGCTGTTTGATGTGTTTAGCTGCCACAAGTATCGCGTAAGCTTCTGCTGTGAAGATACTTGTGCTTGGATGTAGAGGGCCAGCATCCGAAAAGGATGGGCCGACAGCAGCGTAGGACCCAGAGGAGTTGGACTTGGAAGCATCTGTAAAGAACTCAGGACGTGTGTATTTGTGTTGAAGTTCCAGGAAGTATGTTCGGATATGGGCAATAGGCGCATGTTTCGTAACTTCTAGAAAGGACACATCGCAGTCTATAGTCTGCCATTGCCACGGTGGCGGATATGCTACAGGAGCCATTAAACTGTGTTC